AATAAATCGTAAACGACTCACCGTTTCACACGACGTTGCTGTAAGCGTGGGTAGTTCTGGTGTGGCAATATGGCGCCGTGCCTGGCCGTCCTTCCGTCCCACCTGGACATATAAAACGGGCATTGCGGTTAATTAACGAGCATTACGTTAGGTGCCAATCTGCATAATTAGCGGCCCGCGCGTTGCATCCAGTGCATTCGTCATTTACGTCGTATCACGCTGGTTATACACATATGTACGTATGTACATATATCTACGTGGAGGAATTTGTAAAAAATCGACTACTCCGTCCGTGGTGCATCACGTTCGTCCTATTTCAATCGGGATATTTTATCCGTTCGATCGGAAATGCTACTCGAACGGAAGAAGCGCATTGCTATAATTGTTGTAGAAAGTGAATCACACGAATTACCAAGATGCCAGGTAGAAAGAGAGCAAAAGAGGAGTCAGGGAAAGACATCGACCCCCTTAAGCGAGATTCCTACCGGTTACTGCCTTACGTCTACCTGTTATTGTACCTACAGGGCTGCATTCCAGCTGAATCTAAATGCCTCTGTCACGGCTCGCAATAACCCTAATGGCAGGAACACGATGTTCCTGCTTCTGGGAGAGCATTTTCTGCGGATGCAACCTTCTTCTCTTATTTCCTCGCGCGCCAAACTTTAACCGTTCGAACCCGTAATATTCTGAACGTGGAATGCGGAACGGAGGATGCGTTAACCTTAACTTCTTCCAACCAATATCGTAGAATTATCTATCGAAAAGAAAGAACCATTCGCGAGCCGTGTCGCTGATATCGAAACGATCGTAATGATAAATCAAGCCTCGACCGTTTCGAGATATCGATGATAAAACTCAGGGCCGAGCACGATTATGCCTGTGCAAACCCATAACGCAGTTTTCCTCGAGTTAATCAAGCTTCTACGATATGTATAAGGTCCTAAGTGGATAATCTACCCTATGGTTCTTATCTAGAGAAAACTGGAGCAGAGTTCGCTAGCGGACGAGAGTTGCAACAAAAGCGGTGTCAACCGAGGAAGCGCGCAACAATTTTACAGCACCTCTAGACGAGACTTCTCCAGACTGGACTCCAAGTCCGCGTGGTATGTAGAGGGTGATCGCGCTTAAGGCAGATTTACGGCAGAAATGCTAATTGACTCGGTCTCGAAAGGAAGAATCGCGAATTGCGCCACGCGAAAATTAGAAAGGCAGTTGCACTACCAATTGCAATCGCGCCTCGGTTCTCACTCGCGAGCAAACTCTGTATACGTATTCGAAAATTTTCATCGTTTCCTATTACGTACCTCGAACAGGAATATCGAATCTTTCTCTACACGACCGCTCGATGCAAGTGGGTTATGACTTTTCGTCATACACGTAGTTCCGTTTTCATCTACAGCTCTTTTTCTGTGCAAAGCAGCGAAGCAGACTGCGCGTACTTTCTTCGGCCTCGATCCCCTTGCGGGAACCTCGCTTACGTATCGCTTTCGCAATCATTATTAGACGTTGTTGCGCAAGCGAGAGCGGTCTGTCCTATATGAAATATCGCCCGCATTCAATCTCAGCCGCGGATACGTTGTAATTAGCGTGCAAGACACTGCGTGGAAGCAGAGCCTCTAACGTAGCGTGAACGCGCGATATCGCGGCTCGCAGGACACGGGTGTCTGTAAAAATCCAGATGCCATTTCAGATAGGTGCTAGCAGATTCGCCACGGCGTTACACCGAGAGTGGTGCAACTTTACGGCAAGCTCACGACATACCAATCTTCGCCTTGCTCTGCCTCCAGTTATTCATCCGTGGCTGGCTTTTACATCGTATTAACGCTCCTCCTATAATAAGTCATGCGGCTGCTTATCGGCACCGCGATAGAAACGAAAACAGTGTTAACGATTTTCCTATTTAGAGATTCGCGATTGGACGGCTGCTCGATAAATCTTTACAGAAAATGTGTAATAGAACAGCGGGAAGGTAATTGCAGGATGGAAAGGTATCGATCGTTAGATCTAATCGTTCGGTAAGAGCACAGATGCACGGATAGAAGATTCTTCCGAGGCACGCGCTACCAGTTGCCTCGGGTAAGTAAGTAAGTAAGAATCGATTCTTTCCTTTGCCGTACACCTGTTACCGTCCACCGAGATGTCCCGCAATCTACACATCCTGTTCTCCTCCTTGTGCCCACTCCCACCCACTCTTACGGAATAGTATCGACGCACGACCGGCTGTCAATGTTCGACCGTATCGAACTTCCGTCGTTTTCAAAGGCCAGCCTCTATCAGGCTGCACCTCACGTTCTTGTTGCGTCATTCTACGAGCTCGTCGATGAAACGTAACGTCGTCGCTAGATTTCACGGAAAACCGGGCAATTGTTGCTAGGCAAAAGGTTCGTAGGTTATCTGTGATCGACGACCCGGCGTGAACGTGAACGTTACGCGTGCGGTGCCAACTCAATTAACGCGATCGTCAACGCGATAAATCCTTTTCTACTTCTTTCCTGCCGCCTCTCCTTTTCCGTCTTCTTCGAACGTATCGGTACCATTTAAACCGAGAATGTTAAGTGCCGCGTACGAGGAAAAATGTGAGCAACGAGTTCTTTTCATTTCGTCCAACTACCGTTCGAGGAAACGATTTCCCCTATTGTGAAACGCGCGGGCAATTGTTGCACGATTTGCATGATGCTGTAGCATTTGGAACAATCCGATTAAGCGAGTGCGACAAACTTACGAACAAAGAGGGGCGAGTTTAAATATAGCCGGCAGCCGGGCTAAGTTTATCTTTATTGAGGTTTATGCTGGTTCGCGTCGACCTCGTTGCTTTACACAGTGGCTTGCTGTTCAGCTGATTTTTTATCCTTAATAATTACCTCGATTGGCCCATAGAGGGTACGCTTTTCATTTTTATCGATGCACTAATCGATGTACTTCTTCCTCGAAAGGGTATTACAGCAAGCGCACCTTTATTATCCGGTTTGGCAAAAAGGGTCACATGGTATCTGTGCGTTTCAGCGCGTTTTCGCGCACGTGTATGTAAATGCCGGTAAGCTGCATGCGATTACGTGAAATAAGGGGTATAGTAGCGTAGTCGCGCGAGCATAGATAAAACAGGATCGCGTGCCCCGGTAAGCTGGCACGTTGAAACGCGTCCGAGCTGTCGGCTCGACTGGCCAACAACACGTAGGGGCTTTGCACAAATGTACGCGTCGAATCACCTTTCGTTCGTCTAATTTATTTCGCGAATAATAAAATGCACCGCGTAAACAAGCATTAAACGTACGAGGAGATTAGCGGTATTGAAAAAGGACGCGTCCTCTTAAGAGCTTAATTCCACTAGATCGCAAGGAGATCGAGCCGATGTTGGTCAGACCGAACAGGCTGCTGTTTCAACCTTGAATTACGGAGAATAAACGGTGGTCGAGGCAAAGTACTCGAGTATAATCGTGAGATAAGCAGAGTTTACGACGATTTCGAATATTCCTTTGACGGACTTCTACCCTATTCGTTGTTTATCGATTGATTTTGCATCGAGTTAGAAGAGGGTCAAAATCGTGGCGGTGTTAACAAGACATGTCCATCGGTAAATCATTGGCTCCACTCAGTTGGTCACGAGCGGTGACATGTTCCGTAGCCCCCTATCAGGACGAGTCTATTAAATCTGCAACAGGACGGAATGTCTGCCAGGGCCATTACCATTCCACCAAGTCGTAAGTTATCTTCGCTGACAGTGGGCGCGCATAGAAATGTCTTCGGCCGTGATACCTCCTGACTTCTTCTTCTTCTTCTTCTCCATCTTCTCCTCCTCCTCCTTCTTTTCCTTCTTCTTCTTGTTTTTCTCTTGCTACCTCCCCCTTCTTATTCTGCTCGAGGCCGTCTTTGGTCGCACTGTCAGCCGCCGGCATCCGTATCAGTCTTTGCAATCAACGTTGCTCGGCTCTTTTCGGCGACTTTGTCGCCTGTATCTTATTGTACAACTTATTCTTCAATTTTTCCATCGATTCATCTATCTATTTCATGCTCTGTTTGACAAGTGCATAAAGGTAGTAGTGGACGTTCGTAGCTTTTGCAACGATCTCGCCTAGTCTATCAAAGGTTCAGATTCGTAGAGGTATTCGACGGGTCGTGGTGTAACCGATTCGTATAAAATTTGCATCGCATTCCAGCCAGCCCTTGGCATTGCCAGTAATAGTGGTCGTGCATCGTAGGTAGATCTTTCAGAAGATCTCACCTCGGCACCTCTGCAAAACACGCGGACATGAACGTAAAGAAGGGAGAGAGAGAGTCTCTCTTTTCGAGTCCTTCCAATTCTCTCGTGACCATAAAGGTTTTGTTGCAGCTGGATCGCTGTCGAGTCGAACGGTAAATCAAGATGGTTGCTTTACGTAATGGAGTTGCACCGGCCACATCTTAATTAGGAAAAATCTGGAAGCACATCCGTTTCCAGCTCGCCGATCCTAGGTAGAGTTAAGGCGCCCATTGCATTCTCATTAACCGTCTGCTTTTGAATGCATCCTATAGACCGCGCACGGCGAGTCGCTCGTTACACTATTTATCTCGAGCCTCTGTTTCGTAGAAAACGGGCCTGTGTTCGTAATAACACCATCCCGTACACGTGTACGTGTGCTACATCGGCCACCTTTTCAATATACCGCTTTATAAATACGCTATTAAACGCCGCTCATCTAGCACGCCTTTTTCATCCTGCGAATAAAACGCTGAAAGGACACGTGTTTTATTCCCAAGTAAAACACCGTTACGGCTCTTTCCTTTTATCTCGCCAACAGGTTAGTCCTCCGTGATTAATGGAGATTCCGGAAAAATGAATAAATTCGCGACGCGACGCGTCGATAAATTCAGATTAGTAGCCACGATGAACACCGCGATCGTTCGTTGTCGAAATTTCGCTAAATTCTGGAGGAGCTACGGGGATGCCAAGATGCGCGTTAGTCTAAATTCACGTGGGATATTCAATTACGATTCCTAGTCGTCGTATTTGCGAACGTATCGCGATGACTGCTGAGACAGATGGCGAGGCCCCGTGTCTCGAGCGTCTTCATCAAGAAGTACGAAACGTAACACTTTATCCTTCCACCTAACCTTTGCACCCTCCACTTTATCCCCCTCTCTGCTCTCGCGCAGGCGATTAATTGTTTGGAAACGTTTCCGAATAAAATCATCCAACTGAACGACTTTGTGAACGAGTACATGCCGGAATCGGTTCGAAACAACAAGTACAACGAGAATCTGGTCGATCGAAAGACCAAGTGTCAATCGACACTTTCCACGGTGAAAACTTCCGACCTGAATAGCATCTCGGACTACGGTGGTAATTACGAATAAGAATGGAAGCGGCGCGGCGGTACGTGTGCGCGTAACGGACAGTTTTCTCTTTCATTCCGATTCCTCCAGTTTCGAGTTACTACTCTTTGTCGATGTGTGATCGCAGTCGGTCGCCGCGACACGGAGTTTCCAAGAGAAGATACTATCGATCGCGGGGCATAACTGGTTGCGATATACGTCGAAGGCCCGGACCTCTCGGACAGCTTTTAGCATTTATAGTGAGCAGCTTGGCGACGTGCACGAAGAAAATGCTGGTCGCTCCATCCCGGTACATTATGGACAGCATAATTTCAACGGTCTGCCATCGGTAAGAGGAAATAAGCGAGAGCAAAAAGGAGGGGGAAAATGATCGCGTGTGTGTTATTTCCCCGTGGGTGAAGGCGAGAGTTGAAAAACGCCCAATGCGGACCTTCGCCAAATTGGAACAGCTCTCTCTCCACTTATGTGACTACGGTAAAGAAAGACACGACGGTTATAGGAAGGCTTAGCGATATCATGAGGCCAGCCGTAGTGAAGCTCATTACCGACACTACCAACGTAAGAGTTCTCTCGCACTTTTCCAGTGTTCAATTGCACCTTTCCTCCTCTTTCCTCCCCCCCTCTATCTGAAATCAGTTCCTCTTGGTTCGGTTCAGTTGAAACGTTGGCTGCAAGCAGTCACTTTAACCACTGAATCGCCTCCGATCGAACTAACGAACGCGACTCGCAACACCGAGACCATCGACTGTTGGGCTTACGAGCTGTTCTTTCATCTCAAGTACCTTCAAGTGAATCGCGCACGACGGACCACCGACAAAGTAATCCTTAAAGCTAATTGCGCCTCTTGCGTACCTCTCCTAGAGAATGCGTTAATTTCCCTTTCGAATGAACGCGAGCGCAACAACAATTCTCAATCCTACTTTCAACCTTGTTAATGAAACTCTCTATTCTGCGTTAGGTAATAGCCGAGGCGGAGTTGAAACCTGGCGACGTGATACACGCAAACTTGTGGCATCGTTTAGTTCAGCTTCGTGACAATTACATTATTTTGTACGAGACGTTGCAGAACTACGATAAAATTCGCGGTCTCGATTCGGAGAAACAGCAAGAATAGACAAAGTTTCGTTCGCTCGACTCGTTCCAACTTGGAGAAAATCGGAATTATCGTGTAGTTTTCCAAAGTACACGAATGCACCACGTCAACTCTACACATGTAGTAGAAGGTCCGTCGGTCGAACCTCTCGCCCGTTTGTTTCGACACGATTCAGCTGACATGGCACGCTATTGTGGCTAACATTTAAACTTCGTGCCGAGGAAGGGAACGCAGACAGGCTACGGGATTTTTACTTGGGCGAGATTGCACCACCCGACCTGCAGTCACCACTCGCTCCATCGACTTTTTTTTCCACCGCGTAATAGCATAACCTACTTTGCCAGATAAAACGTCGAGTACTTTTTACGGCGTGCAACCAATACTATCGCGCATTAATATCTACGATCGGTCGATGCATTGCACAGACCGATATCGTGACAATTTCGATTGTACGAATTTCACCGGGAACTTTTCCAACCAAAACAAACATCGTTCTACGATCTTTCCAGTGGAACGAGATTACTAGGAACCAGTTGTTCCTAGGACGCGATCAAATTATTAACCATTTACCGACAAATATACCTTTCTCGAGATCCTTCTTTCATTATCGTCCTACATTTTCCAAACAAATTGTCACTCGTGACGTGAAATGTCTTTGTGTAGAATAAAACGGAGCTAATTCCGGAAAGTGCGGTGTCGATTTCGGTGTACATATTTCCTTGGTGAACGGTGTCGAGCACGAGTCGAGCACGAGTCGATCCTTCCATTCCCACAACAAATGCAGCGGCGAATCTTTCTCTGGTTCGAGGGAGTGCCGGTAAACATCGCGGTAACTGGTATACTCGCACAGCTATAGAACGATATCACAAAGGAGACAGTGTTGCCTTTAGATTTCGCCGAGTTCACCAGGCTGAATCCAGAAACGGCCGGTAACCAGTTGAGAAGCTTTCATCTCGGGCTTTAGTTTTCAAGTGTCTTTTAATTAGAGATATCGATCGACAGATGACACGATGTCACGGCACAAATCGGTGCTTCTACGACAGTTACGCAGCTGTAAATTCGTTATTCGTTAAGAGTAGGGTAGAATTAGTAGGATGCTTCCTTTCGTTTTCTTCTCGGCGAGAAGTCTGGGAATAATCGGTAGATGGGGACGATTTTCCCAATAAGCTGATGTGTTCGGTATCCGCTAACACATCTAGCCAAAGGTAAAAGCGTTAAACGAGTACCGACCCCAACTAACCTATGATCTTGGTTGATAGCTGATCGCGAGTTAAGCCTCGCTCCATCCATAACAGGCCTCGAACGAAATCCCTCGTGTGGCTCTATCGTGCGAACGAACGGTAGTCACGACTCGGATTACGTACCGTGTAAAACACCGAGAAGCCTTGCGAGAGGAAAAATAGAAAGATAATTCCTCGAACAATGAAATATATTTCTATAGTGTAGTGGATATAGGTCGGTACCGTACAATTATCGATTTAGACAGAATTGGAATTAGCCTTATGAAGGAAAATCGAGCGAGAAATGTGGCGACTTGAGTAGAGAGCAAAGATCGCTGGTCGTAAGATCATAGACGAGGCTAGCAAGATCCAGAGGAACCGTTAGAGTTTAACGATGAGTTCGCTTCCCTACTCCTGCCTCGCGATCTTTACGCCTGGCAATTCCACAAGTGGATATATCCGCGATACCACCACGGTAGCGCGTGGAGGCGGTTAACAAGATGAACGATCCGCTTGGAAGACAACGAACGAACGAACATGATCGTACAATTTGCTCCGGATTTCACGTTGCTCGGTAAAATCGGGTTTCGTAGAAAATCTCGGTGGAAAAGATGCCGGCGCGGCGCGATCGTTTCTCTCGTTATAGACCGATGTACTTCGTAGAGACCGATGTATTCCCTTTTAAGATTTACGACACCGAGTGGAAACGAGTGAAAAAAGGCATCGTTCGTGATGCAGTTCGTTTGTTGGTTGGACTTGGAAAGAGCAAATTGCAGAGTCGAAGATAAATCTCGCTGGGATTTCACACCCTCCGGCACGCCCGAACAACGCAACGTAGAATCTTGTCGTTCTCTAGCTCGACCCTTTCTCCTTCTCGTTCGTAAAATTGCTATTTCCAAAAGTGAAACAGCTGTGATCACATTTCAATACAGATACAGACACTGTCGATCGGCTAATAAAAAGTAGAAAAAGTCCTCTCGCTCGTGTGTGTGTGGCAATCGGTCCGCGAATGACAGGCATAACTGAAGACCAACAATGCTCCTTTACATCGAGATTCGTTCAACAGCATGGTAGAAAGGAAAATGATTTTATAATAATCATCAAAGCCTGCACGCTGTATCCGTCTCCTACCATACAGCAAAACAGAATCGTGGGTGTGTTCCTCGAGCATGCTACTCGGGAACAATGTGACATTATGGTAAATGACTGAGACCATTGTCGTCGAGGAACGTTTACCGCGTACTGTTACGTTTCACCCAACGTTTCCCCCGGCGCGGCGCGGCGCGGCGATCCAACGTTTTCCCGTTTAACGCCGACTTTTAAGACGAATCTCGAGCCCTTTCGAAAGAGAGATACGAAATAATTTATAATCCAGGAAAATCCGCGTACGGATCTCGAATTTCAGCTAGGTGTCGCGTTATACGCGAGAGCGGTCACCCAGAGATCCGTGTATAGGTTGTCCTCGACGGTGCGCCAAGCACTCTAATTCGATCCGTGAAAATATATACGAAATAGAGCGGTGAATTGATCGGCAAAGCGGCGGCCTTTTCTACTCTTACGTAATGTGCGTTTACTGCGCGATCAATTTTGCCATCGTAAATATCGTTATCTCGATATAAATAATAATGCTCCTAAAAGAAAAGAGGGTGGCTCGCGTCTATGAAAACCGGCGATACGATAAAAACGAGATTTACATTCCTCCGCCGCAAATTTCCATTCATTAGCGCTCGAGCGGGAAAGAAAAACTACGTAAAGTAGTCGATGACCGTTTAAAAGGTGACATGAAAATCACGCATAGGTGCATACCTATGGAAGATTAACGCGTTTAACAAACGATTCGAAAGTTTACTGCTGAAAAACGTTACTTCTCTCCTGATCAGATATAATCGTTATTGTTATTATTACTATCGTAACGATCGTTGTTATTACAGCGAACCTCCGAAGCTATCAAAAAGTTGACGATGGTAGCCATGCGGTAAGCCGCAAAGTACCGTGCGCTCCGACTCATTAACAACCTATATCGGTAGTCGTAATGCGAGGTGATGCAACCTGAACTTATCGAAACGACGTGTCGTAACTCTAATCTCGTAAAATCCTTCGAAAGTCACGATGAAAATTCCTCCAAGTATCCTACGATATGCCACGATTATGCTACGGTATGCGTTTTACGCGGCCTAACAAATCGTTCGATCGAGGGTAATTGTTGTCTCCTGTAACGTAACTTGGGCGTCGAGGCAACGACGAATACATACCGTTACAGAGACCCCATTAGCGGCTGATCTATAGCTGCGGAGGGAAAACGTCTGGTCGCGAAACGCAACACTTTCCACGTTACCGAGGAACGCATTGCGTAACCACCACCGGTGTATATTTCGTTAAATGTTGATAGAGAACCGTGTATCTCGCGTGGTCACGCGATGCTTTTTCTTCCCTGGCAAAATCTGCTTCCTGACTTCTACTGACCGAGAATCGTAGGGAGCAATTTCTGACCTAATCCTATCCTAATCCTATCGATAAACCTATCCTACCTTAGGTAGTACATATTACGCAAGGAAAGGAAAGTTAAGTAGGATCCTAGCGGCACTGTTCCTATTTACATTGAAACCTTCACAATTACGGTTGTACCCGCATCTTAAATATTCCACAGAGATATTGGCTAGGTGTTCTAAGATATGGCAGAGTCGAGTGGAATTGGTATTCGCGGTGGGGTTTCTTGCGTTGATCTTAAATTACGCGGCTTCTCGTAACTTGTAATTATTCTACTAGGAGAAGATAAAAGATTTTCTCGGACGTGTAGGTTATACAACAAAATCCTCGACGTCACAATACGCTTATTATTTCGTTTCATTAGTATCCGACTTGTATGGAAGATTTGCATTACAAATGCGCAACAGCGGCTCCACGGAGCAATATTTTATACTCCGTTTGCTGCACAAGCTCGTGCAGCGGTGAATAATTTCAAAGAAGAGTAAACAATAGTCGGACCGAGCTCTTTCTATCGACGAATCTGAAAGAAAGGCAAGTCTAGGAAGGAATTATGCAGAACCGAATGCAAGTGGCTCGAGTGCGACGCGTAGCTCCTCCCGGGCATCGTCAAGTTCAAGGATGCCCCCGAGGTCTAGGTTCACTAGGGACAACCGTGGTGCAGCACGAAAGAAAGAGATTCTCCCCTTTCAGTTCCACTCTCGTATCTAAGGATTGGAGCAGCGATGCCTCGAGCAGATACGCACATTGTTTTAAAAGCGCATAGTATAATACATTGGCTGGGTACGTGCGTAGTAAAGGATGAAATGCGTTTCAGTAAAGGCAAGGCCGCGGTAGGAGTCCTCCATGTTTGCTAACTTTTCTACGATCCACCGTTCCAGTAGGTACTTGTAATACTATGGAAGGATCGTCAACTTGGAGAATGTCTCGGAACGTGACGCATCGCCCTCGTCGGAGATGCACGCGAGCTAGTTGCCACTTTCGCTCGCTTTATTGTTCATTTTTATAATTAGGTTCGATCGAAAGTGAAATTATAGGAAAAGAGATACTTTTAGCCAAGGATACGCATAATTTTCTCGTTCCTATACCGAACGATAGCGGAGGATCTTGATAATGATGTTTATCGCGTCAGTTTTGAACGGAGCTGCCCTATCGTTCAGGCTAGCAGAGTACTACCTTTCGCCAAGAGTACGCAACTTTATGGTAGCATCAGCGTACGTACAATTACTAGGGCAGAGACTGGAACAGCGTGCGACTAGATAATACTAAATAGTTTGGAAAAATAGGAACTCGTACATTCCTCGACGTAAAGCGGCTGTAAATTCTTGGAGGAAACGAGACTCGAAAGTGGTTGCCAATCCATCGAGGTTGAGAAACAGGCTAACACCTGCTACAGATTGCTCTCGAGATTACTGTTGCCTCGAATTAACCATGGAAGAATGCGGGAATAAAGAGTGCACGAATCGAGTAACAAACGAATCACGAAACAGTGGAGGGAGGGAGGGGGATAATTGAAATAGGTCGAGGAGGATAAACGGAGGATAAAAGGTGGAGATAAATCTGGTTACAACAATAGGATAAAGAAATCGACCTCGTTGCAATTGTGAACTATAGGCGTTTGCCCTAAAGGGCTCCTGGCAACAATGCTCTTCGCCTTGGCCCGAGCAGGATCTCGATGGAGGATCGCAGAGGCGCCAATGGCGATGATGTAGGTGGATCTGAATGCAGGATAGGAAGAGGGAGGTAAATAGTGAAAGGAGAAAAGAGAGAAAACTAGTGGACGATGAGCGCGAGCTTAGGCGGCGCAAAGTCAGTGCACTCCTATGCCCCGTTGCGCACCGCTGCGAGAGAGCCCTGCGCAACCGGGCAGCCGTATTGCAGAGCCGAGTGCAGAGCCGAGTGCAGCCGGTTTGCTGACTCGAGGTATTTTTCATTGACAATGAGAGAAAATAGTATATACCCCGTCCGCTAATACCGACGTGGTAAAAAGTTTGCTCGAACTATTATTAGAACCGTACTTAAATAAGATTATGTGGATTGTAGGGACAGGTATGCGCGCTGACGGCACGCTATCTTCTGCCGCCACCGCCGCCGCCGCCGCTATGCAACTCAAGGTAGATAACTCTGCGAGTAACGCCGTAACGAATCGACTTAATATCGCCTCCAAGCACACCAATAACTGCCTTGCGATCTATCGATTTCTCTTCGATGCGCAGGTTCGCTTCAGTTTCGCTTCAGTTTCGCTTCGGTTTCGCTTCGGTTTCATCACAAAGGATGAGAGGAAATGGTATACGTGTATAAAGTATATCGATGCGTGGTGGAGCAAAGTTTCCCGATGTCGGGCAAAGGTACGTTGCTCTGCCTTCCCTATCCTGCGCAACCAAGCACCGTAAGCTCTTCGCGATATTCCTGCCCATCTAGCCTCAAGTGCTTCTTCTTCGAACGCGGAAGCTTGTTGCGGGGGAGTGCACATGCAGGATCGCGTCGTACGGCCGGCCTCCTCGGAAGGTCGTGCCATTCAGCGGCCGTTCACCCGTCATCCCTTTCTTTTTCTGCCCTTCCCCTTCTTCTTCTTCTTCTCCTTCTTCCTCTTTTTCCTACCTATCTCAGGTATAGCCGATACCCGCCATTGTTACTACATACATACTTATATACCATGTACCTACGTCCGGCTAAGCGCACAGTCCACCTGGTAGAAAAGCGACCCCATCTTTCCTGCGAACTTGCACGAAAGCTGTTCATACCTTGACCTTTGGTTCGTTCGATCGGAAAAGAAAAAGGGGATGGAGAGACATACGAAACTATAGCAGAGTCGATTTAAAGGCGAGAGATAGGCGGGGGTAAAATAGGTACATTTACAATGGCTGTCAGCTGATACGATTAGCGTCTTAGCTGGGACGTTCACCTCCCGTCCGTTTGTCCTCTTGCATTCTCATAACCGGTCCTTAGAACGCGTTCGTCGTTCAGCCGAGCGCCTAGGGTGACGAATTAGAGGCGATTAAAAATGACTAATAAATTCGTATCACCGGCGCGGCGTTAAACCCGAAATGCGAGGATCTCGCGGTTTCTCCTCCGGTGTACGTCCTTGAGGAGAAGAACGCAAGATCGATACTACGCAATCCTCGATAACCTCTTTGATTAGAAGAACTGAACAAGAAAGAGCCAGACGGCGCCAGCGGTTGCTGAGAAAAAGCGGTCGTGTGAGGCGTTCTAATGCTCGAATACCAACGAGCTTATGTATTTCTTGATGGTACAACACCGTTCGTTCGATCGATGTTGACAGTTATACGAACGCGTACGGGCACGTCGATTGCCGAGGATCGCCGGGGCCGATTAAAAGATTTTGCCGATCGGGGGGATACGTCGAAAATACATTATCGAGACAAGGCGTTCCGTGAGAAGAATTTCTAATACGAATACCAGAGGATTCGATTCCTCTCGACCAACCACCGCTCGTTAAATGTACCATTTAACGTCAGCTCGCTGTCATTACGCGGCCGAACCTTTATATTCTTAACATTTCTCAAGCCGTTAATATCGGTGTAATTAAAGCAATTATCGATAGACACCAGGTTTCTGGTGTCGAGTGGACGAGGATCGCGGAGACAGGGGAACTATTATGTCGTGAGAAACTATGCGATTAATTTCCTGCTCCGCGAGTTACCGGCGCTACCGACGTATATGTGTAAGTTGCACTGGCAAGAACCACGTAAACGCGTCCAGGTACTGGATGATGTTCGAGCAAAGACAAGTCCAAGGAGTATCCGGTTTTCCAACTTCCGCCAAAGGCATTCCGTCGTACAAAATATTCGACTGTTTACATCGCTTACCTAACCCTCTCTCTATCCCATTCTCCGATCGTCGTTACCATCGAAACGATCCTCCTCGTTTATGCCTACACACTATCAAGGCCGACTGGTGTTCACGGCAAAAAGATGGATCGCTGCGCGAAACTATTTAAGCCGTGCATTAGCCAGGATCGAGTTATGCTTCGTGATGAAATCTGGATGGAAAAGAGCAGGACAGAAGAAAGGTGCGTGGAAGATTCGGTAAATGGCCATGTTAAGTGAATAACTCATAAGAGAAGAAGAAGGTGGCGCTTATGCAGCTGTGGCTAAGGTTGAATCGCATTGGAATGTGGAGAGTTTAAGGCTCGCTTAGAGAGGATTTGCGATAGGCAACACCCGCGCCTTCTCCCTCTTCTGCAATAATCCCTTCTGCCAAAGAGTTGCCAGCTGCAGTTGTCCGTATCTTGTCTACAGTCGCGGCGCACACTTGGGAACACCGTGGCGTGTCGGGAATGCGGAAAGGACGAGTTTCTTCTACTTTTGTTGCACGTATCTACCTGAGACTCGGTAACCTGAGACTCGGTGATGCGGTGGCTCTTCGAAAACCGCGTCCGCTTCTAGAATCTTTCAGACTAGATTGTATTTGTTCTTATCAGATCGAAGCGCTTCCTTGGCCAGGCGACTCTAGTTAAGTTGCTTGCCTCCTCCTATACGTACTTGTTCACTTACTCGCATACGTATGTACGTAACGAACGAGGCACAGGACTAAACCGGTGGACTTGTTATAATTAGAGCATCACCGTTACAACCTTCCTCGATAGTTGGTTCGTTGGAAAATTTCGTCGAACGTTTATGCGCGGCACTCGTCGATTTACGCCAAAGTAAACGCGTCCGATCCCCGTGCAGAGGTTCAGCTTGCTCGTAAACCAATGGTCTATAGAACGGATCGCTGCCACTATTACGATCGCCATTAACTATTTTACAGGTTTATCGTGGCTTGATCTCGAGTGGACGAGGATCGTTTCGCTTCGACACGATGCTTCACGGTCTCTTGTGCTTTACGAGCCATTGTTTCTATTTTTCCAATCTTACCAGAAGTAGCAGTACATATAACTTTTCGTGTGAAACGATATGACAACTATGTCACCAAATTCGTTCCTCTCTCTACGACGAAGTTGCACCAGGTGAATCGACCGGGTTACACAAAGAGGTCTGCTGCAGGCATAGCTCGGAAGAAGCGTTCTCCTCGCCAAGAGCAAGGGTCTGCGAACGACAAAGAGAAACCATATTTCGCTTTTCATCTTCCTCCTGAAAGTATATCTCGTTACCTCTCCAAGGATGATAGCCTTTTTTAAACAGGGTACGGCTGCTTCGAGGAGTTTACACTCGTAATCGTTCAAAGGTGGAATACCCAAATGTCTCTGAATCCCATTTGGGCCTAATTCCAAGGGGGCAGCGAAATACGTTAATTCTGGTATCACGCAGGATCGAACGTAAGCGCATTCCACGACGTTGCTCTGATGTCGCAAAGCTAAACGAATTGACAATAACGAAATGTACATTTACACGTAACCGAAGAAAATATCGCGCGTTGGATATAATACCTTTGCAAAGGGATACGCAAAATCTGGCTGCCCCAAACGCCATCGCACAACATGTTCTTTCTTTACCTTTATTCGCCTTCGACAACTCCTCGTTGGACGTTCTTAAAGCATGTGTCAATCTACTAGCTTCCACCTAACGAGTTAACCAACGTGCCGATTTAGCTGTCGCAGCAAAATAAGGTGGTACGAAAGAATTTGTGAAAAGTTATTAACCTGGGATATTTTGTTACAAGGCTTCGCCTGCGAGAAAAGTGGAATGCATGTGTTTGAGCAACTCCCACCAATTACAGGTACCACCGTGCATTCTGGTTCGCAGCCGACAACTTCTGCGGCGAAAGTATTTGCTCTAACACAGTCAAGGCTAATTACGCCAAAAAGGCGATTGGGCTCGTAAACCCCAGCCTTTTTATACATTTCCATTGCCAGAGGTATTAAACTGTTTATCGGATTCATTACGACCGCGACCATAGCCTGAAGAGAAAAGGAACGAAACTGAAGCCCGAATTGGAATTAGTACTGTCGTATTCGACAGTCTGCAAATAGACGAAACGCGAGAAAGAGAGAAAAAAAAAACACGTTGAAGAAGAGAGACGGGAGATGACCAAAGACAAACATGCTTGTCCTTGCCGAGATTGTCACGAAGAATGTCGAAAACAACCTGCTCGTAATTAATGAAGCTGCGAGGGCGTTAAAAGCCGAGGCCAACTGCCACGCGTAAAAAAAACACGTAAAGCACGGTGTCCAGCCATTATTCGAATTCATAACGCACTTTCGTTGTCGCGTACGCATTTTCATACCGAGGCTACTTTGCCGTAGAATGTTGCAATTGTTACCTGGGGGCAAAATTTAATGATATTTGGTAGTAAATCTGACAACGCGTTAGCGTTAGATTTCAGGACCCTAGACAGGCTCGATTCGTCTTTAACCGTTTCATCTCCAACGATCATTACTATTTTCGCTCCTTCGAGTGTCTGCTCGAGACATCTTCTCGGATGATTACAGGTGCTGACCTTACACTTCGTGTCGATATAATTCAAATCCAGTGCAAGACCGTAGGTACATTTGTTATCAAAAACTGCCACCTCGTCGATCAACGGTGACTGTTTTAAAAACAACGAGAGACAATTTCCTACGAAGGAAAGATACGAAAAGTATGTGGGGCGTGCAAAAGAGACGAATTAAACGTAACCTGAATTAATTACCCGTCTTACTAGCAGCACCCAGAATAGATACTTTCATAGATTTCGAGGAGAAAAGCTTCGTTTGCGCAATCGGGGAAGAAGAAAATTTGTCGTAAAAAATACGCCAAGAGAAATTTCCAAATGTACGAATTGTAACGAACGAAAACATAATTGACGCTACATTTTACAAAGAGACATTTTTAAACAAGATAAGGCTGTTGTTTCTTTAAATGAAAGTCTAACTCGTATTGTGGAGTGAGGTCGTGGTGCCATCTTTTGTATCCGCTATAAGTCTACCCACGTACATGTATGTATACGATGATATCGCAGGAAACTTTTCTTTCAATCGTAATTCGCGTTAATTCAACTTCTACGTGCGTTTCTTCAAATTTTTATTACCCTTACTATCGATTCAACTCGGATACGCTATCCGAGAAAAAAAAGTTAGTTTTCGTTGTAGTAACACATGAGACATGGGATGTAGTAATCGTCGGGAAGGCCACAGGCGGTAAAACGGTCCCGTTCATCCGGAATACCATTTTCTGTCAGTGTCGAATGGAGATTGATCTCTTTTCCCTCAAATTTCCAGGTGTAACACGTAACCCCGTTTGCGTTATAAATCAGGCCGCGTTCTTGTATGCGTTTAATGGAATCCTCCTCGCAAACCTTTACGAAATTCTCTCGTTAATCTGTCGTAGACTCTTCTGTTCGTTCGAACGAGAGGAAAGAAACGAATTACCATTATAACGACTTGTGTTCCGGTAAGGACGTTTAAAATTCTACACGGCCGTGGATTTTTCGTCAAGTATCCCTTTTTGTATGTTTCGTCGAGCCACCATGGACATTTGTCCAGTGGTCGCCAAGTGGAAGATGGTACTACCGAAGATGGTAGATCCGGAATCGGCCCGTGAGGGCAATACGGCACCATTACCCCCGTAACAGGGTGTATATGACGTTTAATATCGTTCGTTTCGTGATCGAACCAGTGACTTATATCTTTACCAGCATGGGCCAATATTGGCTCGATTTCTTTTTTATTCGCCCAAATTTCACAGAGATCGGTTAAATCGTACACTCCGGAATTGTACGAGACCCAACAATCGGTTGGTGTATTGTGTACTACAACTTCTGTTGGTAAAAAATACTCGACTGTTTTACAAGAACCGTGTTCGTAATCTGCAACAACGTCGCAAGGATATTTTCCCTCGGAACAAAAACATCGATTCACAGGTGACATTTTACCGGAAGCAGTATTTACACCTTCTGGAATTTCTCTTGGACGATTTTCAGTTGAGTACACAACGTGTTAGATGCTCGTGGCTACTGGAACGCGAGAATTTCGAAACGTTTCTTAAAATAATATATACTCGCGAACCAGGCATTCGCGATAAGATAATTTTTTACTCTAATCTGTCATGTGTCGTGGTTATTATTTTACATCATTTCCAATGTTAATTTCACGTTCAACTAGAAAGGACAGATGCAAAAACTGTTAACCTCGTTTTATTTATCTGCCTCTATGTTATATAAATATATAAGAAAGAATAAACATAATCCTCACGTCTGAAAAATATTGCTCAATAAATGACACACTTTGCTAGCTTCATGTTGTTCCTATTTCAAAAAAGACCTAGAGGGATTACGGGCGAACCTGATAACCAGGGAGAAACTTGTGAAAATAACGGTTTCAGGTGGTGAAATATGAAACGCACGGGAAAGGTGGAAGCGGAATACATCGACGAGGTGATATTTTTCACAAAACTCTTCCGACAATCTAACGAATATCGCCGTTTCCTAGGAACTTTCGTACCGTAACGTTGGATTTCTATGTTACTTTCAATCTGAAGGCAGTCGCTGCATTGTGGCTATTGCAGGCGATTGAATGGCTGCCTCGTCCAAAGAGTGCACATCCTGTTTTGCTGTAATTAATTTTACGTTACTTGGTGATTTACACGTGAAATATTCTCTGCCTCGTACAGTTTGGTAAGTCTTTCGGTACATTTCACTTCTCTTTGAAAAGATGATTCATATACTAGGTGGACTACTATAATACGTTCGTTTCGAAGAAACGTGCTCGTAAAATTTACGGCCGGTTATTTATTTTTGCTAAACACCGTGTTCAATGGGTTTTTTCTAGACGTCGTTCAAGTTCTTCTTTAAATTGTACGAAATTCGCGTGAATGTTCTCGCAGGTAAATGTTGAAATTAAACGAAATATCTGTAAGGTACAGTAGTTGTCAGAATTTATACTGGATTGTGACACACTATAATAGCTTCTTATATTTACACGCAGCAATATCCTTAGTTGTTATTTAAGATGACGGAGTTTTTGTAATTTTTCCATTCGTTCGAGAAATAAGAACGTAACATCGTTTTTATTCATTGGTAAGCTATATTTGTAAATATAATGTACAATTTGACTTTGCTCATCTGTTTTCAAGAAGATTAAAGTGATGTGAAACTTGAAGCATTTGATACACAACAATGTTGGAGTTACATGTATGATTTTTTATGATCATTTCTTGGTGAGATGACGATCCAACTTGAGATAACAATATTCGATACAAGTTTTTTTCAAATATTCTGTCTGTTAACCGACGTGAATGAAAATTTATGTTAATATCAACAGCCCTCTTGTCTCTCGATCCTTTTATTTCAATATTTTTTTTAATTTCAACAAATTGAACATTTTTTTTATTCTATCCTCTCTTAAACTAAGTAATGTTAAGCTTAGAGAAGCCACAAATATCCTTCTATTAATATTATCTTAGGTTTCTCATTGATTTTATAAAATCCTTGTAGGATTATTGAAATCACAGTAATAGCAATAGCAATACAAGAAATATTGAAATGGAAAAGAGCGCGGACGGATTATTGTTTCGCGCAGAGAGAAATAATGGAGCTAACGAAGGAACAATGGGTATGGGATGTGTTGATGAAAAAGTGGCCATTTTGGATGCAGGTGCACAGTATGGTAAAGTGATAGATCGAAAGATTCGTGAATTAAATGTTCACAGTGAAATTCTACCCCTCGATACATCTGTATTTACCCTTCAAGAAAAGGGCTATAAGTAAGATTACACGTTATGTTACTCTGCTGTTAAAAAACGATACTACATTTAAGAATAGTCTTTATTATTTTAACTATCAATTTTAGAGCAATTATAATTTCCGGAGGGCCAAGTTCGGTATATGCGGAAGATGCACCTAAATACGACGCCGACATTTTTAGAATAGGAATTCCAGTACTAGGTATTTGTTATGGAATGCAAATGATGAACAAGGAATTTGGTGGTACTGTAATCGGTAAGGAGGGCAGAGAAGACGGGCAGTTCCCAATTGAAATAGACTCCAAGTGCCTGTTATTTAAGTAAGTGAATTTCAAATATCTCTTCTACCTTGTTCTTTGGATCTGACGTAAAAGGAGACTGACTAATTCTTTATCAGGGGCTTGGAGAAGGAGCAGATGGTCTTGTTAACACATGGAGACAGTATAGATAGGGTGGCTGATAGTTTTCACATTACTGCCAGGTCGTCCAACTTTGTAACAGGGATAGCAAGTGATAAGATGAATTTGTACGGAGTACAATTTCACCCAGAGGTAGACCTTACTTCTAATGGAAAAACAATGTTGCACAATTTTTTGTTTGGCATTGCCGGCCTTACTGGTAACTATACACTTCGCGGTCGGGAAGCACAGTGTATTCAGTATATCAGGGATACTGTTGGCAACAAGAAAGTTTTGGTAAGAAACTACTTGATAATTAGTATTTAGATTGTTATTAAAATGTATTATTAAACTTTTAACCTTTGATCTTCAAAAAGATTTATGATATTGTTGAAATCTATTTCGGAAAATAATTGAAAAGATAGTATAAGGTATGACAAAATGTGATTGTCAATTAAAATAGAAAAAAACGATCATAGTTGTTAGTGAGCGGAGGTGTGGATTCCACAGTATGTGCAGCACTGTTACACAAAGCTTTAAACGAAGAACAAGTGATAGCTCTGCATATCAATAACGGCTTTATGCGGAAAGGAGAGACGCAATTTGTCGAACAAAGTCTGGCACAATTGGGAATCCGATTAAGAGTCATAAACGCTGGATGCTGCTTTATGCAAGGCACTACATCTGTCCCCTTGGATAATGTAACTCCGGTAGCCAATGCAAATACTATAAACAATAAGGAATTATGTGGTACAGCAACTAGCCCAAGAACTAGATTAACTAAAATGTTGTGTGCAACAACCAACCCAGAAGAGAAACGAAAAATCATAGGAGATGTTTTTGTAAAAGTAGCAAATGAAGCAATGGCAGAGATGGGTCTGAAGCCAGAAGAAGTGTTTCTTGGGCAAGGCACTCTCAGGCCTGACCTTATTGAAAGTGCGAGTGCATTAGCTAGTGGTAAATTGATAGTTGTAAATGCATTGTTCTTTCATATCTCATCTGTTAGAAGCATCAAATTGTATTCACATAAAATATAAACACTTCTATCAGGTAAAGCGGATGCGATTAAAACGCATCACAATGATAGTGAACTCGTTAGAGCATTAAGAGCACAAGGTCAAGTAGTAGAACCTTTAAAAGATTTTCATAAGGACGAAGTGAGACAGTTAGGATGTGATCTTGGATTACCAGCAACGCTGGTCGCTCGTCATCCGTTTCCTGGACCTGGACTCGCTGTGCGCATTCTATGCGCAGATGAACCTTATATGGATAAAGATTTCTCGGAAACACAGGTATTCTTTTCTAGTATCTCGATAAAAAGAGGAGGAAGAAATTAACGAATTGTTCAAATTGAAATAAAGGTGATAGTTAAAATAATGGCAGAATATGAACAAATGCTTCAAAAGAAACATGGACTGCTAAATCGTGTAGAAGGCGCGACCAGTGAATCTGAACGTCAGTATTTACAACAGCTTTCGAGTTATCGTCATATTTCTGCGACACTTTTGCCTATACGCAGTGTAGGAGTACAGGTAGAATTTTTCCTACATACGAATATTCACCAGATACGATTATCGATCGGATAATTAAAGATTTCACTCTACGATTTTATTAGGGAGATCGAAGAAGTTACAGCTATGTAGTAGGCTTATCTAGCGAAGAGAACTTATCCGAAGGAATAGAGTGGAAGGATCTGTTGTTCCTCGCGAAACTAATTCCACGTGTATGTCATAATGTAAATCGCGTCTGCTTCATTTTTGGTCCTCAATTACATCATCCTGTTACGGATATCACGCCGACTCATCTTACGTCGAATGTGATAGCTACACTTCGACAAGCGGATCACGTAGCAAATTTAGTGCTAGCAACCAATGGCTGTATGGGAGCAATCAGTCAAATGCCAGTAGTTTTAATTCCCATACACTTTGATCGCGATGCTGCTTCTCGAATACCCTCATGCCAACGTTCCGTTGTTCTTAGGCCATTCGTTACTAATGATTTTATGACCGGCACACCGGCTATTCCTGGGAAGGAGTTACCATTACACGTAAGTTTCCTTCTCCCAATCTTTCTACTATCGAAATCAAGTCATTCCTTTTCTGTTCGCACAGGTGGTGAAGAAATTGGTGATCGAAATATCTGCAATACCCGGTATCTCGCGTGTTTTATACGACTTAACATCTAAACCGCCAGGAACTACCGAATGGGAGTAGTAAACGCTCATCTCTGACTCACCCCTTTCTATTTTTTCACCTTCCCAGCGCGTAACAACAACAAAGTAAAAAATATATTTAAAAATATATATATATATATATTACAAAAATACGTACGAATTCGAGGTTTATGACTTCTTACCGATTTATATGAAACCTTTGAGCAAAGTTCTTTCAAAACAACAACAGAAAATATATGTTCTCGATTGTAAATTAATATGTTACCTAAAGAATACTGATACTGTGTTCAATGAAATTGAAGGTAAGTATCATGTTTGCTTGTAAATAGGTTTCTTATTAACCTCATTGTAAAAATATTAATTTATTAAATTCCGAAAAATTTACATTACATCACTGTTACACTGCAAAAGGTTGCATTTGATTGGTGGTACCATTAGGTTGCTGTTATATTCAATTTGCATATAATGTTGAACGTATTTTACTGTTTTCCTATATGTCCTATGCCAAATGCAATTTCCAGTTTTTGTCATACATCTAAAAATACGAACATAAATAAGTTAATGTATTGTCTTTAATATCATTTTTATTTATCAATCGTAACTGAGTAAAATGATATCTATTCCCTGAATCCTTTGTGTTACATTACTCAATATTCATCTATTATAAGGGTGTATGTATCAATCTTGCATACAATATAGATTACCTATGCATGGTTTTCAATAAGACGTGTAAGTCTTCGATGCGTTTCTTCTCCGGAAGCATGCTAAGAAATGTTGCAAGGGATAAAAAGTCTACTTCGTTCACGATTTTAGAATTAGCGATCCATATCTGCATATGCATTTTCACCTGCAACCGTGTATTTTATATTATCTCTATCAATCCTACAAAAATTCATTCTAAAGGATTACGTGATAAGATCAATTATCGAGCATGCATCCCTCGTCCCTTCGTTAGGAGATATTTATATATTAAAGAGAAATGCAACGATAGAGAGAGAGAGAGAAAAAAAATAGGAATTATAAGCGCTACCTGATCTAGAGGTAGATTAAGTAAACGATTTACAAGATCGATTAGACTGTTTTCTTGTTGAATTACACTGCCATTGTCTTGCGAGATAGTACGATTGTGGGAAAGAATAGCCTCAGCTTCATCCTCGGTAATTTCGTTCTTAACAGATTTCATTTCTTCCACAGAGGGTATTATCGATCTCGCGTTATCGATCTTCTTATCTAACGAATTCTTCGGTTCATTCGTATTTTTTGTCGTCTTCAGCGCTGCCTGTACGTTTTTCTTTTTATGTTTAGCAAGCGTCGCTTTGCTATTTTTACTTTTCGAGTTTACTTCCACCTTCCTATTCTGTTTCACATGCTCACCTTTCGGCCATCCAACCTTACTCTCGTTCTTTTTTACTTTCGACGAATATTCTGCTTTCTTGGCCGTGCAATACGTTTGAACGTCGCGTCTTAAGTCTTCCGATAACGCGGCTAAAAACTCTGGATCCACTTGTGAGAAAGATATATTTTCCTCGTCACGATTATCTTCGGTAGTTGAAGATGTTCCGCTTGTCGAAGATGTACGTGCTTGCATATTATTTTCGTTTCTATTAACACTCGTTTCGTCTGATTTCTTCTTAGCGCTGTATTCGTTAAGGATTTCGTTTCGTATATCTTCGGGTAATTCTATAAGAACGGACATATCGATTTCTTGAATGGGTGGCATCTCCACCTTGGTTGGTCTCGAAACTCCAGGTTTCGTTTGTTTGAAAAAATTCTCCTGACGCGTTTGTACTTCTTCCTTAGTTCTTCCCTGCTCTGTCAGTTGTTCGGTTCCGTTAACGACCAATAATTCGTTTCGTATATCTTCTGGGAGTTCGGAAAGAACTGACTCGTTGATACCAGGTGGAACGTTCGATGTTTTCCGATTCTCAGCAATTTTATTATTTCCAGATACAGACGCGACCGCATTCGAATTTGCCGAAGACCGAGCTTCATTCGCGGCTTGCTTTTCTTCGATAGATCGACCAGACGTGCTGCTATTTTCCTTCTTCTTGTTAACGAAACTCGTTAAAGTTATACCCCGAGATTTATTTTTTAATATCTCTAATCTAGATATTTGTATACCGATGCCTCTCGCATCTTCAGGCACTTTTTGCATTTGATTCCAAAGTGCAATTACCTCCCTAAACGAAGGACGAGTAAATTATTGCTTCGTAAATTTCGATTACGACAATCCTATTACGATAATCCTACCACTTACTTTGTCATGATATCAACATCGTTGATAGCCGAGATAAGATTCTTCGATTTTGTCACGTAATCGCATAATCCGTGTCCCATAAATTTTTCAGTTTCTTTCGGCGCCTCTTTGGCCCTGACTAAAACTTTCAACGTGATACACCTGCCTTTCGCGTTAGCTTTATTCAATCGATTACACACTTCGTGTGATAATTTTCTTAAGAAATCTATCGCATCTTCGTTACTCTGAAATCTTATCCCGTAATTGACTTCGGCAGAGACCGATTTTCTAACGTGTTCTAAATTAAGCTTCGAATTATCTTTACCGCGACACATATTGTACAACATTTCACCCATTTTTTTACCAAATTCCTTTTGTACCGTCGTCAACGAGATTGCTTGTAATTCTGCACACGTTCGTACATTCATATTTTTTAGTTTATGTCCTGTTGTCCATCCAACCCCTAATTTCAATAATCAACGGTATTAAGAACAAAGTTAAACATACAGTCCTACTATCCAGTCGGTGTTTTAAATAGCCTAGCCAACATTATCCTACCTGGTAAATCCTCTACGTTAAAGGTATTGATGCAATCGTTAATGTGCTGCTGTTGTATATAAAATTGACCATTAGGCTTTGCTTTTCTTGTTGCTAATCTTGCTAATAATTTGTTGCTGCCAAATCCTGTTGACACAGGACAACCTGTTTTATCTTTTATTTCCTTTCTAATTACAGCTGCAAATTCCAACGGTGTTAGACACAATTCCTCTAATATTTTTGTACAATCTGCATACATTTCGTCGCAACTAACTGCTTCAATGTCTAATGTGTATGATGCTACAGTATCGTATAACGTGTAGGAGACTTCTGTGTACCCTTCAAAGTCGTACGGTATTGGCTTTAAGTTAGGACATATCTTTAATGCTTCCCCTAAAAACATGCCATTTTTTACTCCAGCTTTTCTTGCCTCGTAAGAACAGGATGCTATCTCTGACAATGAACCATGTTCTTCGTCTCTATTTGTATTACTATCTAAAATTTGTTTGTTATTTGCAGGATTTTTATTGCCCTTCGCGTGAGTCACCGCAACAGGTAAGCCTCTGAACTCTGGTTTGTCTCTAAGACCAACCGATACAAAAAAGCAGTCCATATCGATGTGCATTATAATAGGGCCTTGACTAACTTCAGTCTTATCTTCCCCTTGAAAATCAGCTTCGATACTGAGGTTCAATTGGGAATCAGTCAATGATGAGTTCAATTTTTTATCTCTCAACTCTTTCAACTTGTCAAGACCAAGAAATTTCCCGTTACTTTTGTCTCTCAAGTGGTTAACATAGTCTTTGAATGTTGCTCCCATTGTTGCAATATGGTGTAATCGAGAGTGACTATAAAATTCTGATATAAATTCTGAATTTTTTGTTGAACGAGCATCTCTTGAACTAATGGATGTTGTAGGATTTGAAATAACTTGATTCACAAAAGAATCTTCTACCGCTTCAAGTTTGTCACCTTTGTTACTTTTTGGAATGTTTACTTTATGATCTGTTTGTATATTATTGTGCACTTGGTCGATGCTGTTTGTTTTGTTTTCTTTAATTTCTACTGTGTACATCAATTGGGGTTGTACGCTTGTACATTGTGAATAAAGTAAATACTTTTGAAAATTTAAAATCCTACCAGCCTTTATACTATCTGTAATCCATTCAGGTTTACATATGGGAGTTGGGTTTTGACTTTTTCTATACATTATTACCTTAGAATATGGTAAATTGGTTGCAATGATGTGAGTTGTAACCCTTGGTCTCATATAATTATGATATATACCTCCATGTATCATCATTAAACGACGAAGTTCATCTGCAGTTGGATTAGTATAACCATTGACAAAAATTGCAATCCCTTGAAATATATTTGACGATTTAACCTCGTTAGTTGCTTCATTTAGAAATTGTTCCTCTAATTTTGCTTGTTTAGCAGCCATATACCCACCCTAAAATCACCCCGTTATACCTACATCTAATTTATTTAACTTTGTTAACGAATATTAGCTGTTTTCTTACATACCCAATCTTCAAATCCATTTTCCCCCCAAGCTTCACTTTTTTTCTTCTTTGACATTATTACAAATTTTAAGCAGAATAAAAATGTTCTATCTGGTTATCGTGTAATTATCGTACTGATTAAAATGTACCGATATATTTTGTTGGATAAAATACTCATTCCTACGTAACCTCCTGAAAACGAAATACCTCCTTGAACATTTGTACGATTTCAAAATTCTATTTAATCATGTGAACAAAATGTTTAAACATCTTGAAACCTGTCGTCAATGTATAAAACAGAAATTATTCATGTTAATTGATTCTCAATACTGGACACAACTATCGCGGTCGACCGCAGTACGTGACGGAAGGTCACTTCACTTTAGCTTTATTAGCTAGTTTACTGAATACACGAACCATATGGTGCATTTCAAATAATGTTTTAAATAACCCGCTTATCCTAAAGAGTAGATATATGATAGAGGTAGACAGAAATAAGTTTTTTCGTTTATTCAACAATTCTTTATATCGTACAATTCTCGTAGTACATAGTATATACACGAAGCAGAGAGCAATTACATTTTTTAATATCATATTCATACAAATTTTATAAAATTATATTTACTGTAAGGGTTGATTTGTATCGTTATAACAGATCTCTGTACATAAAATATTGCAAAAAAAAAAAAAAAATAAAAAATATATTTTTTATAGCAATAGTAAATAAAAAATAATAATCGTATCAAACGATTCCTTATCTGTAACGAATGTCTGTAGAATGTATCGTGTCCGGATGGGAATTAAAAGGAAACGAAAACAAAAAAAACAAAACTATGTTCATCGACGTAACTGTGTATGAATACTTAACGCGTATGGTAACCTAATTTATGATGAACTTTGAACTGAAGTTTGCATGAAATCTCAAGGTGTGCAACGTTTGAAAAATAAAATAATTGTCACAAAATTAACTTCCAATAAGCAAATTGTTATCTTACCATTGTGCGCGTATATTTATATGTAAAATTGTACACTATATTGGAAGAATGAATGTTCTTTTTCTTCTCAAGCACACATTTTAGAAGAGTTAGATATGAAATAAAAAATACACCAAAGAAGAATACTTGATGACAATTATTTGAAATTTTTTAGAGATGTAAATTCACTGCTCTTTTTATGTAAACTTAAGGGTTATGTACTATATGTTTTATAAAAACTGAACATTTGTTCAAAGAAAATGAATGTCAAGACAGTATGTGGGCCTAAC